CATAGTTATTTTGTCATTAGTTGCTGGATATAATCTTGAAATCGAACAAATGGATGTTAAAATAGGTTTTCTACCTGGAGAACTTGAGGAGGTTATTTACATGAACCAACCAGAAAGATTTGTTAAAGCTGGTCAGGAAAATAAAGTTTGTCTTTGCTGCAGTGATATAAGAAAATTGATTTTTTCATGATTCAGAATTCTTACAGAAGAAGCTTGTTTGATATTTGTGTGACGCCAGAGCTGATCCGTTATTTGTATTAACTTCAGGATAGTTTCATTCTAGTTGGTAGTTGTATGACAACATAGGATTACTTCTTGTTTATGTTTGGTGTAGCCTATTATATTGCCACTATTGTCTATAAATAGGTAGAAATTCTTTGTATTAGAGGAGATTTTGGAGATAATATGATTTGAGTTTATTCTCATGTGTTGTCCTGTATCTTAAGAGTGATTCTTAGGTGGTGGTTCTTGCGCCAAGAAGGAGTTCTTGGAGTGGTGTCGTTCGACCACCACCGGATCGTCGACGTGGATTCGTCGAGCCCCTCCGGTCCGTTGTCATTTGGTATCAGAGCTGGCAAGTTGCTGGCGTTCTTGTCCGTAGCCGTGTTGCCTCCGCCACCGGCGTCATTTGGCGGCGACCCATCTTTGGTGGCTAATCGGAATAGGAAGAGGAATCGATTCAGAGGCGAATCAGCGTCATTTGGTGTTCAGTGGCGAAGCCGAAGCGGTGACTGCAGTTCTTCATCCGCAGCGCATACATCCACGTTTTATTTATTCTTGGGTGTGGACCTCAAGACATCAACCTCAAGAATTTTAATTACCAATTTTCTTCTGCTATACCTTCTCCAAGCAATCTAAACAGCAAGGTCTTCCTCCCTGAAGGCTACTGTCCACGTTCTTGTTCTCCAAATAACTTGCTGCGGCCACAATATCAGCCGCAGTCCTCTTCTTTAGGTTCTTGAAGTATAGAGAAAGCAATCTGCATAGCCCGCAGGTACCAACTAGGTTGTTCAACTGCTGTCCATTTTCTTCCAAGTCATCAGAACTGTTGTAAGTCACAAGAACAGCAGCAAAAACAATTTTCCGGCTGCAGTCCAGCTTTTCAAGTCTTACGACGTCTCCAACTGCAGGAGTTTTGCAGCCGTTCTTTACTGTCTTAAATAAGTTCTTGAAGAATAGCACAAGATGCCTTCTAGATGGATGTTGCAAGGATCACGACAAGACGCAGAAATAGAAGATCTTCAACAAGAAATTATTCGACTCAAACGACGATTGTCAAAGATTGAACGAAGATCCTTACGAGCCGATGACAATGACGAGGGCATTGCAGATAATCAGATCTCTTCGACCCCACCCTCGATCGAGTTCAGCTTCGAAGAAATTGAAGATTTGTTGCCGAAATCGCCATCTTGGCCTATCTTTGATGAACCCGTGTATGACGTATACGATGATGACTTGTTCTTTGAATTTCTTGATGTTGATACGCCTGTGAATAATGATGATAAGAGCAAGCCAATTCAAGAGGTTATTGAAGAAAAGAATAATGGTGGAGACGATTGCACAGGAAGTGTTAATGCCCTGATTCCTGCATTTGAATGTGTTCATGTTGGCTGCGATGTTACTGGACTCAAGGAAGGAAACAATATTCTTCCTATCTTCACAGGCGAATGCAAAGAATGTGTGCATTGTAAATCAGAAAAGAATAATATGTGTGATTTGTTGCAGATTAATACTGATGGAAGTATAATGTTAAGTGATGGAAGATCAAGATTTTCAACAAAAGGAATTTCCAGCCACCACTTCCTCGGAACTTCTACATCCCGTGAATACATTGTAGTTCACAATGGCTATCTTGACAAGCTTGATCCATCTACTCCTCTAGACAAAGTTTGTATTCTCAGTTGTGGTATTTTCACAAGGTTGGGGGCAACGCTCAACGATGCCAAGCAAAAAATAAGATCCACTGTAACCATTTTTGGTATAAATGAGTCTCTGAATCCCAAGGATTATGAAAAAACAATTCCATATGCTTATGCTGCTATTGAGAAATTAAAGATTCGTAGGCAAATTGACAGCGGGTGGACATATCCTGATCAGTTTAGCCAACCAAATCCACCTCCTTATGGTGGCATGGCCAACCGGACATTTTCCTATGAGCCTGAAGTTCCTCCTACCCCGGTAGTATGACGCCGGAGCTGAGCTGATTTATCCGATTAAACTTCAGTTTAGTTTTATTTCTTTTGGTAGCGTATATGGATACATAGAATTAGCGTTCTCTTGTTTTGAGTGTAGCCTATTATGAGTTACATTTGTCTATAAATAAATAGCCTTTGCTTGTAAGAGAGGGAGATTGAGATGAATAATATTTGAGTAGTTTTTACTCTGTTTTTGGGTTTCTGTATCCTGAAGGATTTCAGGTGGTGATCCCTCTCTTCCAAGGAGTTCTTGGAGTTATCCGGCTAACGTCACCGGATTGTCGACGTGGATTCGTCGAGCCCCCTATCTGGCCGGTGTCAGTCGGACTTCAGCCATGTCTTTGTAGTAGAGACCGATGCATCAGGATATGGGTTGGGGGCAGTGTTGATGAAGAACCACAGATCTATAGCATACTTCAGTCAAATGTTATCCACAAGGGCTAGACTTAAGTCGGTTTATGAGAGGGAGCTAATGGCCATTGTCTTGGCTATTCAGAAGTGGCACCCTTATCTTTTGGGTGGACATTTCATCGTCCGAACGGATGAGAGGAGCTTGAAGTATTTGTTGGAGCAAAGGATGGTGACCGAGGAGCATCAAAGATGGTTGTCCAAACTATTAGCCTGTGATTTTGAGATCCAGTACAAGTCTGGGTTGGAGAACAAAGCAGTTGATGCCTTATCCCGGTGTGTTGGGGAGCTCCAGGAGTTGGTTGTGTCTATACCACTGATGGTCGACTGGGGGCCATCAAGGAAGAAAGCATGTTGAATGAAGAGTTGCGAAAGATCATGGAGGATCTGATGAAAGACAAGAGTGTAGCCATCCTGGTTACATTGAGGGGGAGAGGCTATTGTATCAGGGGAGGTTTGTGATGCCACGAACCTCCATACATATTCCCCACTTGTTACAGGAGTTCCATAGCAGTGCGATTGGAGGTCATTCAGGAGTGTAGAAGACCTATAGAATGTTGGCATCTAAGCTTTACTAGAAGGGGAAGCATAAAGATGTTGAGAGGATGGTGGCAATGTGAGAAGTGTGCCATAGAAACAAATACATGGCCATGGCTCCAGGAGGATTACTACAACCCTTGGCACTTCTAAACCGAGTCTGTGAGGAAGTGTCAATGAATTTCATAGACGGCCCTACCACAATCAGAAGGATTCACTGTCATTATGGTGGTGGTTGACAGACTTAGTAAGTATGCACATTTCATCTTCTTACAACATCCCTACACTGCGGTGTCAGTAGCAGCAACATTTGTCAGGGTGATGGTTAGACTACATGGGATCCTTGAAGCCATTTTGACTGATCAAGACAAAGTATTCCTCAGCCAGTTTTGGAGGGAGATGTTCAGGTTGAAGGGCACTACTCTTAAAAGGAGCACCGCCTTCCATCCATAGATAGATAGGCAAACGGAGGTGGTGAACTGGAGTTTAAAGACCTATTTGAGGTGTTTTGCTTCTGAAACACCGCGGATGTGGGCGAAGTGGTTACCATGGGCCAAGTATTGGTACAATACATCGTACCATTATGCTTCTCAAATGACTCCTTTCAAAGTGATGTATGGAAGGGACCCCCCACACCTAGTGCACTATGGGAGGGGAAGCACACCAGTTTCTTCAATTGAGTAGTATTTGGAGGAAAGGGATAAGAAGCTGGAAGAGTTCAAGAAACATCTGCTGAGGGCACAACAAATCATGAAAAAACAGGCGGACTCACATATGAGAGACATGCAATTTGAAGTAGGAGAGGAGTTCCTAAAACTACACCCTTACAGGCATAAGACAGTTGCTAGGAGGAACGAGAAACTTGCACCGTGACACTTCGACCCCTATGAGGTTTTGGATAGGATTGGAGTAGTGGCGTACCGACTGAAGTTACCACCATCCGTCACCATACACCCAATTTTTCATGTGCCCCAGCTGAGGAGAGCTCTAGGGGAGCATGCAGTTAGTGCAGAATTACTTTCTACACTGATTAAGGATTTGGAAATAATTTTAGAACCACTAGAGCTTACAGGAGTAAGATCAGATAAAGAGGGCAACAAAGAATTGTTGATTAGATGGAGAGGCCTCCCCGATTTCGATGCTACTTGGGAACCATTTGAAAGAATGAAAGATTAATTCCCTTCATTTCACCTTAAGGACAAGGTGAGTCTTTGAGAGAGGAGTAATGTTAGGCCGGCCCAATAGTGGCCAATTGGATCGGTCCAACCTGAACCAATCATGTTTTATTCCAGGCGGCCCCACATGGGGCAAAACCAGGGAAAGGAGGGGAGGGCGGAAGCCCTTGTGGGCCCAAGCATGGATTAATTCAAGTATCGGAGGGAAATTTTGAATAGGAGGGCTGTTTTGGGATTTTGCATTGGTCCTTTGGAGTTAATTAGGGGCTAAGGGAAGATTTAGGGTTTCGTCTTGAATTTGGGCTGAAATTTTGGGATTTTCTTGGAGGTTTGGGCTCTAGTCCTCTCGGTTAGAGATTTTGGAGACTTTTCTTCCTCTCGAATTGAAGAATCCTGTATCGTTGTTGTTTTTGTTCATCTACTAGTGGAATACAAGTTGTTTGCTTGATTTTGTTCAGATTTCTCTTCAGTTTTCTCTATTTTCTACTGGTTTTGGGCTATTTTCCTACTGTAATAAACAGCAGTCACCTTGCTGTTTATTCATCAATTTGGGTTAGGTTTGCTTGCGAACTTAAATATTACCTTAGGGTTACTTGCGAACTCAAGTATTTCCTATCACCTTCATCCATGTCAAGAGAATTATGTGAACAAACCACTAGAGAGAAAACCCTGAATACATTATCAATTATACAGTAATGAACTTAAGTACAATGGAAGTTTTACTTACATTTCTCTTGTCATAGAGATAAAAGAAAAACTGTGAAGGTGATGAGTACTCCTCTGAATCTGTATTATGTGCCATTGCAACTGCTCCATAAACAGATAAAGGAAGCACAGGCAGTTCACCATCCTATCATGAGCAAGAAAACAATAAAAAAGGAGTGTTAAACCCATAATAAGTACTAATAATAACCAATTAATCGCCGTCACCAAAAACCTGGATACTAAGAGCTGTCTTATATAAAGGTTCGAATTCTCCGGAAGGCTTTAATTCTAGTGGAAGACTATAACCATAGTTCTCAAGCTCATTATCCGAGAGAACAGCCTGATTGGCACACTTCAGCCTCACACCATCATAGGCACCATCAATTACCTAAAAAGTTCAAACTTATCTAAAGATCAGAAAAAGAATTAGAAACACGAAAAAATTCTTTTCAAGTCAAGAATTTTAACAGATGAAATTGTGTCTGAACAGTAATCAATTACCAAGCCATGTAAAAATAAAAAGTTTCATATTATATTCTTCAACGCACGGTGGGGAATGTTTAAGAAACCAAGTCAGAAAAAGGATACCTTACCAATTTTGCAAAGTTCCCTGCTGTTAGTGGAGCAGAATAGCCATCAAGAACAACCTGTAGATAAAGAAAGATATTTTCAAGGGATGTCCATCCACAGTGACAATGGCCTGTTATTAAAAGAGTATTAAAATGAGACGCCTATAGTCATAACGATTAAATTTGTGCAATGAATCTTAGTCGCATGTTTACTCTGAGCAATTGACTCTACCAGTTTAAATACAAGAAATTAGCCAGCTTGTCATGTTTAAGGAGAAGAAAGAAGATATCTGTTGGGAAGCAAGCACGCAGCAAAACAAACAAAAAAAAAGAAAACAGCAGAAACGAACTTCAGGATTTAACATGGAAAAATTCAAAATTGGGAAAAAAACTACGAAACCATACCACACCAACAAAGTCCCTGTAAAAATTGAGAGAAATTGTACAAATCTCTCTACTCACTTTCTCTCTTTGCCTCTCTTCACTTCTCTTCGTTCTACTCAAAACAAACAAAGAGACGCTTTTCAATATACCAAAGGATAAAACCCTTCAAGTAAAACATGAAAAATGAGTTCTAGCACTATGTCATTGAGTTTTGGAGCTCCACAGGGCTCCACTCTATTTTTGAGTCCACCCTGCAGCGCCATGGCGCTGCAGCTCACAGTGTTCGAGTATATAGCGCCACAGTGCTCGAGGAAAATAGAAAAGGCGAATAAGTAGCTTCATAGGTTAAGTGAGAGGTCACTCTACAAAGCTTTAGCAAACCTGAATTGTAGCAAAACTTTTTGGTTCACCCCCAGATGTAGGAAAGAATGTAGAGCCGTCACTTTTCTCAACAACCAAGTTAACAACACCTCTTCCAGTAAGCCTGTGAAATTCCAAAGCATATTAACAGTCCATAGCAAGTTGCACAGAAACCATGAGAGATTATAAAACAATAGAGCAAGAATTGTAGGAAGCCTTCTAAGGAAGTAAAAAAAATGAAACTATATAGAATGGTATTCAATAACGTTCAAGTTCTTGGTTTGATTACGAGGACCTGTAAATGAGTGTTAAGCAGTTAGCGCTTTTTGCCATTCCAAAATAAGACGGACTCAATATGCAGTCAGTTGTAATGCATTTGTATCACCAAAAATACAACACGGTTTTGCCTAGCTGCTGTACATGAAAAGAGAACTGTTGCAATGAAAACATGGGAATATAACGATAATTTTGCCTAGCCTGATTATTTGCTCATCACTGATATCAGTACCAGATGTTTTGTGCATTTCTGGTATCACAGGTGCGCTTGCTTCGCTGGTCCAAAGGAGTCGTATCAATGGGGTTGCAAATGAACCGAGCATTCGACGAGCTACTCATGACTTAACTCGATAAGAAATCGTTCATGTTCGTTTGATAAGATAAATGAACAAGCTTGAACATTTTTTATAAATACTCGATAGCTAAATAAACGAACTTAAACAACTTTGCGTTCGGTTCGTTTATGTTCATAAACTGTATCATTTAACGCTCATGAACAAGCTTTTTAAGAAACTCGATTATAACTATATTAGAGTTTAAAAAAATATATATTGTTAAATTTAATAATTTATTTGTACTAATCCCACCAAAAATTGTTTGATCATTTATTTTTACTTCCCGCATCCGCCTAAAATCGTGAATAACCCACTCTTTGAATAAATATAAGATAAATCATAGATCGTTTGTTCGTGAACGAACTCATTTGGTAGCTCAAAAAAACTAATTAGATATGTTCATGAACGGGCTCATTTGATAGCTTAAGAATACTTGTTCGTGAACGAGCATGCTTAATAGTTTAAAAAATTTTGCTAGATATGTTCACGAATAAGGTCGATGTAATTTTTTATTAGAACGCTCGATAAGGCTCATTTATTAAGTTAATGTACATCTAGAAGTAGAGCTCGTTTATAGTTCGATAAGGTTCGTTTGTTTAAAGCTCAATAAGCACGAAATGAATCGAACATGAACCAAACATGGACACCCATTAATTTAAACGAACCAAACATGAACACAAACAAAACTCGAATCAAACTCGAACCGAACTTGAACAAGCTGATAATAACATTATACTAAAGAAAATAAAAAATGAACTCAAACATGAACACACACATACTTGACTCAGCTCGGTTCATTGGCAGACCTACGTATCTACCTCCTATTCTCCCGTAATGTTAATGTTATACTGAAATCAGTTTCTCGTTACAATTCTTCTGGCTAGTGAACTCAATCTTCTACACTATATCACCTACTCATGCATGCCATCTATATCTCTGGTAGAGTATGCTTCAACATAATTCTGCTTTCTAGACATTTTTATTCGACTTCTTTCAATAAAATCCATCTATCTCATCAATTCAAAGTCTCCCTTCATCAAATATGATGTCCTTTTGCTTTTCTTTATGCATCAAAGGTGAAGAAAATCATGCCTTCACCATGTAGCTCTCTCCAGCACTTCCCTACATCCCCTTCTCCATCTCTTTTTAATCATACGATCAAAATCTATACACATTTATAATTTATGGTTTTAAAGTAAGGAAATTGTCACTTAGAAACTCTAATAGGAGAAATAGAATCTCCAATGAGCTAAAAGCTTTTATGAAAGAATCGCTTTGATACTGGAGAAATGGTGCATAGTCTCCACTGCTAAACAGAGTATACCCTATTCAAAGTACAGATGCATCATTCCCCGTGAAATTACTGCCAACATAACTTCTTTTCCTGTGTCATTCCAGAGAAAAGAGGCGATTTAAATGGCAGAACAAGGAGAAAAATTCAGAAGTCATCACACAACAAAAAAAAACGTATTTGATATTTCAAGTAGTTTTATTCATGGTTCCCCTTAGCTTCCTTTTTTTTTTTTTTGTGAGGGGGAGGGCGGCGGGGTATTATAACGGAAATTCAATGAATTCAAAATAATGGAATCCAAAATGATTATACTGGAATGAATTTTAGAGACACTTCAAGGAATGAATTTTACAGTAGAACCTACAGAAAATATAGTTTAATAGAATAGACTTGGAAGGCTTTGGCATACAAGCAAAAGATGCACCAATAAGAAAAAAAAATAACAATAATGTGGAAGGAATAAGTAAAAGAGAAACATTAGTGGTAAATGCCTAAAAGTAGTGCAATAGATATATGAACTAAAGTTAAACTAAATGCAAGATCTAATGGGAATACCAAAGGATTAGAAAAATACAACTTCAAATAGTTGGAACAAGGGTAATGATGATTGTGATTAGTGTTCGCTCAAGAAAAATGATGCTTAGGCACGAACCCTGCTTTCCAGGCTAAGGATTTCATTTTTTCTTAAGGCAAATTGATTTTTAATTAACCAGATTTACCCCGGGATTGTATTGGGGTTTATTTAATTCTACGTTCTTACTTCCTATGAGCGCAAGCCCTTATAATTAATTAACTCTCCTACTCCATAAGAAAGAACTCTCAATTAAGGATGATTCACTTTAGGATAGCTTAGGTATCTTAAATTTTAGTCTCATTTTTTGGGGGAATGGGGGTAGACCCAATCAAAACTCTTATGGATACTTCATCTCGGGAATACTATAAATTTCAATCTACCAACGCTAACAAACCATTAGTTGCAGCATCTAGGGAATATGATTAGCAGCCATAAATTGCCTCCTCTCAGGGATCCTGAGTAGACTGGGGTGGTTAGATGTGGGATATAATTTAAATTTGGGGCTTATGGCTCCTTTTAGGAATTGCTTATTAGATTTGATTAAGGATGGGGCTGATGGCTCCACTTAGGAGTTGCACGTTAGATTTGATTTAGGATTGAGCTTACAGCAACACTTAGGAGTTGCCCATAGATTTGATTTAGGATGAGGCTTACAGCTCCGCTTAAGAGTTGCTCGTAGATTTGATTTAGGATGGGCTTATGTTCTGCTTAGGAGTTGCCCATAGATTTGATTTAGGATGAGGCTTATAGCTCTGCTTAGGAGTTGCCCATAGATTCGAATAGGCTGGGGCTTAAAGCTTCGCTTAGGATTTGCCTGTGAGTTTTGATTTAGTGATTATAACTTAACTTAGAAGTTTTCCAAATAGTGGGTCTTACTACTTCCATTGGAAGTTGTCTGTAGTTTTAATTTGAACTTAGGAATAGTTACTTTAGTTTCACTTTCCTTTGCTTCAAAAGCTTTCCTTTTGCCTTAGCACTACTATAATTTCAACATTTTGATTTTTTTCCTTTAGCATTGTTGTTTTGCTTACAGTACTGCATTTGCTTTCATTTATCTATTTTACGGGTGATTAGAGCCCTCACTGTTGGAGCTTGTGTGGAGTTTCATTTAGAGTTTGTTTGGGTCTGAGTTGAGTTGAGTTGAATTTGTAGTTTGAGTTTGTTTAGAGTTTAGAGTTTGTTTAGACTATGGAGATGATTTCAGTGCAAACATTTACCTCTTCTTTTTTTTAGTTTATTGCATTTTTATTAATTAATTAATTCATTAAGATAATTTTTAATTCTTATATTTTAAATTAGTTAATTAATTAACTAATTAAAAAATATTTTAATTTATTGTATTTTAAATTAATTATTTAAAGAAATAATATTTTATTAAAATTAAGATATTTCTCAATTAACTTAATAAAAAATAAATTTTGAATAAATTGAAATTATTAATAAATAAAATAAAATTATTTTATTTTATTTTAATACGCTCTCAAATTGTTTCCTCAATAATTTAAAAAATATTGCAGCCTCCCGATGTCCCCTCCCAGCGAAGAGAGGTAGGGAGAGCACTTGCCCTTCAATTCACCAGGCCAGATCAAAGATTCAACGACATAGAGCTTCGAGACGATGATTGGTTTCGGCACAAGTCTTTAGGTCTTCAAATCCTTTAAGCACGCTTGCCTTTCAAATATGTTTATAAAATTTTTTATTTAATTAAATAGAAGACCGCTTTAATTACTCTAATAGAAACTCAAATAGAGACTATAGAGATGGGTCGAAGTAAGTTGTAAGTGCAGGACATCGGGCTTACGGTCGCAAACGAATGCAAACTAAGTAGAACACACGGTTTCACGCGTGAGCACAAGCAAGTGGAGCAGATTGGATCTGCAGACGAGGCAGTCGTGACGAAGCAGGGTTGGGCGTATAGAGACGCAAGCTGTGCAAGAGTCGTAGCATGCCACCGATCGGCGCAGGCAGGCAGGCGGACCGCATGAGCATGGGCCAGAGGGTGAATGTGCGGCTTCGTGTGGAAATAGGTACGCAGAAGTGCGTGCCTAGGTCGGAAATGCAGAGTCGGGCCTGGGTCGGAAGCACGAAAGTTGATCGCACAAAGTTGGTCGCGCTTGACAGGATCAGGTCAGGCCGATCACAGGAGGAAGCGTAGGCATACTTGGGGCACAAGAACTGGGCAGACTGCGAACAGGACGGGCTTCGTATAGACAGACGTGAGTTTTTTTTTTTTTTCATTTCTCTATTGTTTTTGTATAAATGAATGGGTGCTTTTGCTTGATGCGGCTCCTATTTGTATTTTCCGTTTTTTTTTTTTTTTTTTTTTTTTTTTTTTTTTTTTTTGCTCCTATTTGTATTTTCCGTTTTTTTTTTTTTTCTTTCTTTTTTTTTTCTTTTTTCTTTTTTCTCTTTTTTTTTTAAAATTAACTCAACAATTAGTTCTTCTCTGTGCAACCTAAATTATCATCTAACAAATAGATTCTCACCCCAACATGCAAGTAAAACATTACAAGTAACTGATACAATAGCTCAGAAACTCAATGTATGAAGATGCAATTGCTTGCATGAATGTCTACAAAATAAAGAGTTGTTGGGTTACCTTGGATATTTTTGGTACTGCTCGGGTAACAAAAACGACAAACCTGGAGCCTGTTAAATGCTGTAGGGTCAGTAGGCATTTTACCTAATAGCGTTTGCTAATTTTGTTTTCATTAAACGCACATGATAACAGATCAATAGCCAACTGTACAGACTTCCAAAGAATTATCAAAACTTTAAATAATATTATCATCAATTATTAACCTCATCAAAATTGAGTTAAAGCATGAAAAGAAAACGTTTTTCAAATCTGCATAGCTTTTATAAAGAATACCTGCAATAGCTCTAGCTCGGCAAGAGTATCAAGTGATGATTGCAGAACTATAGAAATCTTATCTGGGTCGTTCTCCTTAATAAAATCAATTAGATTTTTCAATCCACCCTGATATTTGATATAAGTTAACATTAGTCCAACTTTTATGTGACCTGAATAAGCTTTCCATGTTCCAGAAATGTGAATACATTAAGAGAAGCATCCTAAAACATCAGAAAAGATTTTATGTAACTGCCAATATAATAAATAATATCATGTTTTCAAACTTCATATAATGTATATGTGGAACTAGATTGCAGTATTTAGAGTCCCATCTTTCATTCATGGCAGATTACACAATTAAGGAAAGATTTCTCAAATTTTGTTCCTTAAAACACCATCCAAATAAATTTTACTTGCAACAGACATGTGTTAGTTACGCTCCAAGCATAATAGCAATACCATATATCATCACAAAGAGGACTCCCAACCTCTAAAAGGTAGGCTTTATGAATCCATAGTTTCCCCTCATTCATACAACAATAAAACGAAGCAACTAATCAATTTATTCAGGTCATTTACCAACTCCTGATGTGTTTTGGGTAAGGTATCCTCCTCGAACCTATTTAATACTAACTAAACCCCAAGCGGGAATAAAAGTAGTCATGAATGTTTTATGTGCAGTTTAAATTCATAAAAGGAAGTTTGTTTAGTGGATAGATACAAGAAATGTTGAATGTTAAAAAAAACAGTCTCACTACATCCATCCAAATTTAATTTATTATAATCAAACGAGTAAAAATAGTCCGACTTTATCATCCAAAATTACACGACTTTTAGCAACATTCAAAAAATCATCATAAGCACATAATAGACGCGTTTATAAATTATTAAATTAAATACACAGCTTCTAATGCATCATTTAAAACAAGATTCATACATGCTCTCCATATTTCATTTATACAATCAACATTTGAAATCATAAAACCCACATAGTTGTTGGCTCCAAAAATTCATGTCGCGGCCTCTTTACGGCCCTTTCTTTTTTTGTTGGCAACAGAGAATTTTAATGAGTTTAGGTTTTGGGATAAATTTTCAGAAGACATTGGATTGTTTAGATAAGACACTAACCAGAGATTTCACTGTCATTTCGCGAGGACTTTATGATCTAAGTTCAGGTTTCCTATAAGCGCAAGCTCCTATAGTCACTTACCCCTCCCCCCGCGCACGATAACAAGAGAGAACTTTTGATTAAGGATTGTCATTGAACAGATTCGTAGTATCCAACATAAAATAACAACAGAATTATATATTGAAAATTGAAATTTATCATCATGCACTTAAAGTGGATGGTGGGGGGAATGATGATAAATCCGATCAAGATCTCATGGTTCCGTTGTCCCTAGTCTACTTAGTCAGAGGAGATAGTCGACCCAACCTGACCAAAGGATCCTTGTTGGAAGTCATGAGTTGCTTCATCCAAGAGTACCTTGTAGACTTGGGGTGAACGTTTGTCAAAGGGGATAAATTTTAGCCCCTTAGCTTACTAATAAAGGGCTTCGTACCCTATTGATTCATTATTCAAGATTTTAGAGCCATTGAGGATCATACGTGCTTTAATCGTGATCATAATTTAGTGGTACCATTTGACAGTAAAATCACCCAGCCATAGGGCCTTGATCATAACCGTTTAAATGTGGTGTCATTTGGCAGTAAAATCACCAGTTAGAGGACACGTGCCATGTCCTTACCGGCAAGAATAGTTTGAAAATGAATCATAGTAATATTCTCGACTGGACATTTAAACTTTGTGAGCTGAAGTGATTTCCAAATTCATTTGCTTCGACAAACTATTGCTGAGGGAAGATGAATTTTTGTTTTAAGTTATTAGGTAATTTTTTCAAATTAAATATCTTAATTTTTGTGATTTTAAGATTTTTAAATGTTTATTAAAACCATAGCCACGTAATGATAAATTTTAAGACTTAAAAGATAGAGACCCCTTCAGTTGAGATTTTCATTCAACACGATCATCATCATGGTTCATTGAAATTTTCATTTTATTAGTCAAACCTTGTCAACTTTGTTTGTTTGCAAGTAGAGGATCGGGTTCAGCTCCTCATTTTTTAGGACTTTCATAGAAATATTAGAACCGAGAGTGTGTATTTTAATATATGAACTTACTTCATAAAAGACATTGAAGGCCTAATATGAACATATAAAATCAAATACTTTATTAAGTTAACAAGCATTGGTTCTGAGAGTTTGTATTTTAGCAGTGAACCTTTCTCGTAATAGACATTGAAGGTCTAATATGAACATATAAAATCAAATAACTCCAGTCGATGCAATGACCACGTATTTGTTCGATGGTTCAAGTCTTGTTAACTCTGTTCCATTTAAAGAGAAGGATCGAACTTGAACTTAAGTTCACTTTTAACCTGCATAGCATCCTCAAAAGCCAAGTGTGTATATATGTCACGCTAATCATGGCCCATGCAATAGCATGCTTTTCAATGCATTTTGCATAATGTATTTATTCATCAAATAAAATATACATTTGACATATTGGATGTGTATAACATATATGTATGTTTGTATACACATTCATACATTTGTTTGTATATTTGCACGCTTGCATATGCATTTGCATGATTGTGTGCATATTTGTGTATTTACATATCATTTGTGCTCTACTTAACGCGCTTGCATGACATTTTTTGTAGGTTGCGAGGTGCATGCATGTTATATTTGGTACATACATGATACATTTGTGTGTTATTTAGTGTATGCATGATATGTTTGTGTATTGTTGACATGCATGCAAGTGTCATTTGCATGTTGCATAGTTTACTTATGTAATGTATTTACACATTGCGTGGTATACTTATATGAAGCACTTACACGAATATCGATGCACTTGCACAATTTTATGATCATGGTGTATTTACAAAATGTATTTGCATGATCAAAGATATGTGCAAGCTACTTAGTGCTCTCATACAATGCATTCATATGATTAGAGATACAGATACATGCCACTGACTGTATTTATACATGTTTGTACATCTTTGGTATCAATTACTCTGCACTTTTCTTCTTTTATACTATTTTAATAATTTTACTGCATATCCCACATCAATTTGGTATTAGAATAAATTTCCTATAAATTTGCCTTTGATTTCATCTGCTTCTACAATTTCTACCTAAGAATATAAGAATTTCCTAAAATTTTCTTTCCCTCTTCACCTTTCTCTCTCCAACCGAGCATGTTTCCCCAACACTCATACAAAATTAAGTTGAAAAATAATCATTGTACAATCTCTTTTTTTACCCACCACTTTCTCTCTCTTTCCACCAAAAATCAAAATTATGGTTCCCTTCAGTTGAGAACTCAAAAGCTTAATTTTTTCCACAATGTCTACCTCTCCTCTCCCTCCGGACCATCTCACAGATTCCCTCAACTGCTCATAGAATATCTCATGAAATCTTACAACATCTGAAATTTAATAATTCATATTTTGTTCAGAACCTAAACACCTTCCTAAATTCCCTTTACAAAATTGTCCAACTCAAATCCAAGATTAAAACCCCATCATAACCTATGCTTATAAATCACTCTTCCTACTTTCTGAGCACGAACCCCAACTTCAACCTCATCCCGTAAGAAATATCTAAAACTTCCACCCTACCCAACTCAATCAATATCCGTGCACTTGGGATACAAAGTTTGTTTTGGTTCGAGACACCTGAATCCCTCAATTTTAGCACTTCCAACAAAAACAATTTCCTGCTAGAAAAAAAAAATTCCTGCTAGAAAAATCTCTTTCTTCAACGCTCCAAAATCTTCCAGAAGATCTACTTGACTTCTATTGGAATACATTGCATCAACACTGAAGGCTTTCTCATGCTCTATGTAACAGCATCAGAACATTTTTATTTTTTTTCGTGTATCAATGTTGTACAAAGTTTTCACCTTACAGTCGAAGCAAATACACGAAGTTGTAAACTATTTACACTTTTCCAAGTTTCCAACTAGCTCTACTACTTTAGATATTTAATTCAATCAAAATATATATTACTGTAGATTGCTTCATGATTTCCCAATTATATCATAATGAAGTATAGCACTTTTGCATACTTCCTGATTAAAAATCTACATTTCAAATGAATATTAGAGAATCAGAATCCAACTAGCAATTATTCTTTTCTTGCTTCTTCGAACAACTCCTTAAGTTGGCAAGTAGATACTAATCAATGTCAATATGATGAATAGCAACTATAGATTTTTGTTTTTCATTTGGGCCTTCTCCAAAGCATTACAAGCACACATACTATCCACAGAAACAGAGCAGCACAAGTTTTATTTCTTGTTTATCAGTTTTCTCTGCTTGTGAACCACTGATGTTAATAATTTGAGGGGTTACAAATAAATTTAAGACAATCTTGTGAATTGACCGTCACACTTCAATTTCTAAGCAAATGATTGAGATGGTTACACGCATTCTAATATGCTAACATCTTTAGGCTCATGTGCATCTTTTTCAGACTAGATGTGCCCATTACTTATTTTTCTTCTTTCTCATGGGGTGTTCATCCCTAATTTAATATGAAAAACTAAGCATTAATCTCTGTCAAAATAGTTAGTTGTTTGCTTCACATGCCAAAAGTTACAGCCCTTCACTTTCATGTCAACAAAATCAAGCATGACCTTGTTTCCAACAATACTAAGAACAAATGAGCAAATATGAGTCAGGTAAGCCATACATAAATTTACTGTAGAGGAAATATCCATGTATAATGTGCATTATAAGTTAAAAACCCCGGAAAAGAATGAGATACCTTGCCATCTGTTAGAGAAGTATACAACAGGGAACCCTTCTCCTTAAGTTCCTCGGGTAAGGTACCTAAGATTGATTCCTTTTGCTCCATAGCAATCTAAAAAACAAATTGACTCCGATGTTCACAGGCAATACAATATTTAAATATTAAAGATAATATTAAAGAAAGGAAAATTAAGGCATGTCATTGTAATAGTTTTATTGCTCCATTTTCTAAAATTCAGTCAAAAGTTTAATGTTCATATCATAGTCCTATTATTAATTAGTTGCAAGTAAAGAATGCTTTTTAACACCATCCTAAAACCAGAATTATATGTCTATGAATTGCTATAAAAAAGAAAGATATCTTTGACATGATTTAGTATGTTTGCAAAATTATTTGAATTCAATTAGGAAAACACAGTAAGGCAAAAAGCATGATGCACACCTGCTAGCATTTTCAGCACAGAAGTATGTGTTAAATTCAGAGAATTGGAGAAGAAAAAAACTTAATTTTATTCCATAAAATTATACATATTTATAGGTCTATACAAGATTTCTTAATAAAGAAATAAATAACTACAAAATCATGCATAATTTCCCTCATATCCTTCCTAAATCAATCACCCAAATATGGAAGGAGATCGGCGTGATCCAAGTGAGCCTCCCATAGATCCCCATGTTGGCCATGGGATCATGGGTCAAGGGACGGATGGGATTTAACACTCCCCATCCCACGGATCCCCATGCTGGCCAAGGATCAAGGGTCAAGAGACAACTGAGATTTGACAATACCCTTCAAGCTGGGGAATACAAATCTGTCATTCTCATCTTGGTAATCAGTCACAAAAAAGTAAAGTTATCAAGTCTCGCGATAAGAATGTCTGCAAGCTAATCTTTTGAGGAGAAATGGTAGATACATATAAGACCAATATCCAATTTCTTCTTAATGAAATGTTTGTCCACTTCTATATGCTTGGCCCTGTCATGCTAAACTGGATTGTGAGCTATGTTAATTACTAATTTGTTTTCACAGTATAACTTCATGGGTTATTCCCATTTGATTCTTAAATCTTCTAGAATCATCTTGATCCATAGTAGTTCACATATTCCTAAGGCTATAGCTCTAAACTCTGCTCCTGCACTAGACCTGCCAATCACATTTTGTTTCTTACTCCTTCATGTAATAAGGTTTCCTCCAAGGAATGTGTAATATCCTGAGGTAGATCATCTATCTACTGATGATCCTTCGTAATCTGCATCAGTATACTTTTGGGGTCATTCAACATTCTCTTCTGAAAATACATTTTCATGGATTCCCCTTAAGGTAGTGTAGTATTTTGTCTACTGCTTGCATGTAAGTTTGCTTTGGATTTTGTATGAATTGGCTGATCATGCCTACAACAAAGGCTATATATGGTCTGATTTGGGAATGGTAGATTAATTTTTCCACAAGTCTCTGGTAAGCTTCATTATATATGTCCAGATCCTCTTTGGCTTCCCCCAATTTTATTATTACTTGGGCATAAGGAGTGTTGTTGTTGAAGCTGATATTACAATGTGTCATGTGATATGTGGCTCCTGAGTCAATGATCCATAAACCTTTTAAATGATTTCTGAAGACAATTAATCCGATGGATATAAGAAACTTACCTGAAAGTACAATAAAAGAAGATGTAAGTGATTTTTTAAAGGATACCATGAGTTATTTTATTTTCAAAATCTTCTTTGTTGAGCTCTTTGTAGTTTGACTGTGTTTCTAGGTTGGGCAGACTTATTGTAGTGTTAGCTTATGATATCTGTGTTTCTAGGTTGGGCAGACTTATTGTAGTGTTAGCTTATGATATCCCATTTTGATCACTTCTTTAATTACACTTCTTACATGGAGGCATTCTATATAACTTCCAGTAGGTCTCTTTTGTGTGCCTTAATTTCTTGCAATAGCTGGACCAAAGGGAATCTGTCTTTGGATTTAGAAGAAATCCTTACCTCTTTCCTTCCATATTGCCTCTTTGCTTGTCACCATTGTTGAAACCATCAACAGCATTTGATTCCAGCATTATCCCTCATCGGCTTTCCTCAGCACAAATGAGAGAGATGGTCTCATTTAGTAAAGGTGTCTCCTCTTTGCCAAGGATCTGAACTCTAACCTAGTCAAGCTCCATATTTAATCCTGCAAGAAAGTCATACAATTTATCTTTCTCAATAAAACTTTTAACGATAGAAGCATTTTCTGAACACTTGGTCTCTATGCATCTGTAGTGATCAAGTTCTTAACACAAGCCTTGAAATAAAGTGGCATATTCAGTCACGACCTCTTGTTTTCTGCTTCCTACCTTGACCTTGATTTCGACGATTTGAGCAACATCCCAAGCTTTTGAGAATGTATGTCTGACGGCATCCCATATGTCATTTGCAGTAGATAGGAACATGAAAGTATCACTAATTTCTGAATTCATAGAATTCTACAACCATGGCATAATCATGAAGTTCACTTCATTCCATGCCGAAAAATTAGGATTTTCTTCTTTTGGTCTAACCACAAGGAAGTGATTCATCTTTCATTTTTCTTTCAACTAGGTCTTCACAAATTCAGACCATTTGAAGTAATTCTTCACATTCAAACGATAGAGATGTTGCATATTTTGGAAATCTCTTCTTCCTTGATGCACCATGGAGTCCTCCATTTGATTAAAGCTTTGGAAGGAATTAGCTTCAAACATTAAAATGGCAAAGGATAGCAAAGAAGGCTATATTAATCAAGTTAGCAAGGTGCAGGGAAACAATAAAGGCAGTGTTGGTTATAGGAGTAGTAGAAACAATAAGGGAAAACTGGTAATGAATGCACAACAACAGAATAAACACGCATACAAGAGGCAACTTTTGATCAAGATGCTCGTAGGAAGATGTCCTATGCTCGGCTCATTTGCCCGATCCTCTTCCGTACTCAAATAGGCCCCAGGCTTGCATGTAGAAGACCTTTGCTCCGCTCGAAATTCCCAAACGCTCGATCAATCTCACTCGTACGCAGGGAGAGCACCTAATGCGCCTCGTTTTGCCTTAGGACAGGTCGCATGCACGCAAGAGGAACCACTTGCTCAGCTTCGCCCCCTCCATTCTTCTTCTTTATTCATTCGGCCCAAGTAGGAACGTATGAGAGAATACTCTCATTTTCTGTCTTTGAAACCGAAGAAGAGCAGCACACAAGGAGCAGAAAATGCAAAGCCCTTAGCGGCAAATAAAGGCCAATGGTGAGATAGCAAGGAAAGCCGATTATGTATCCTTATACTTTGATACCATGTTAAATTCAGAGACTTGGGGAAGGAAAATGCTTAATTTTATTGCACAAAACCATCCCTATTTATAGATGTATATAAGATATCATAATAAAGAAATAAATAACTACATGATCATGCATAATTACACTAATATAATCCTTCCTAAATCAATCACCCAAATATGGAAGGAGATTGACATGATCAAGATGAGCCTCCCACAGATCCCCATGCTGGTCATGGGATCAAGGGTTAGGGGACGGTTGGGATTTAACAATATGCATGACAAGATAACATAAATTAGCTTACAACACCGTGAGCCTCTCCTTGTGATTTCATGTATATTTCAAAGAGTGCCAATGAAATGAACGAACATTCCACTTACGTGTTATTTATCCATTTTAAACCTGAAAATAAATCATTTTTAAATGAATCTTCTCACTCTCAACTTAATCAATCAACATTAAATGTCTTGCTTCACCACTTATTTCATCAGGGTTGGACCTATGAACCTGGATGGGGAATCGATAATGTAGACTGCATTTTTTCACAAAATTTATAACAGATAACAATCATAGAAATAGCAGAACTTTTTTATGCTATAGAGAAAATGTAAAAGGACGTCATGATATACCTTTAAAGCTTTCTTCACATCACCTTCCATTGTACCGTAAGGTTTTCTCTGGGGGATTCTTAATAAGTATGAAATATCCTCCAAAGAGTCCTGAGGAGAAACAAATAATGGCTTCCTTGCTTAGGTGTAAGACTAAAGAGCCACCAAATTTTTCATAGGGTGTTGACCAGAAAAAAATTTACTTGTATAGCTTTCATATTTGCATTGGCAGGAATCGCCCTTCTTAAAGCAAGCTCTCCTGTTCGGGGAACCTTGGTGTCGGGTGAAAAAAGCACCGCATTTGCAGAAGAAATAAACAATGTGTCCCAGGAACTTAAAGGCAATGTAAATGAGCTTTGACAAAGAATTAGAATTGCAGCTATCACACTTTCAGCCTTCTTCAATCCTTGATAGAAAGCAGAAAAGCTTAGCAGTTTTGGAAAGAGGTTTTGGTGTAGGGTTTCCTACAAAAAGATGGCCAGATGCTAACATAAAGCTAACAAATTTGTCAATTCCAAATATAATAAAGTGGTTCTATGACAAATAAAAAATTCCATCAACTATAGCGTATTGTGCATCATGCCATTCAAGGTAAAGAGAATCAAGTTCTTCAGTTCCATTGCAAATTTTTATTGATCACAATAAAATGTAGGAGATCAATTCCCATAAGCACTGAGGACTGTTTTAAATTTTACAAAACAAGACAATCGATCTCTGAAATATAATAAAGTGGTTCTTTTTGGGAAATATCATATTTATCATTAGTAAATAGAACACCATAGAACAAAATCTCGCATAGCCATAGTGCATAGCGAATAGCGCAGCACACATCATTTTTTTTTTAAAGAAAAATAATAAATGCTAATTTTAATAAAGTAAATTGCATTGTGTAACATTAGGAGAAAGTAAGCACTTAGCTTGTATAACTCAAAATCACAAAACAAGGTAAGTTGCATTTTGGGCTTCTCCAATAGAAATTACAGTATATAATCAAAAGATTTATGCAGTCAAGCAAAAGTACTATAAACCACAACAAACTCATGCATTGATGAACTCAAACTATGAGAGAATCATAATATTCTTGCACAATAAATGATGTTTATGCGCGCATAGATAATAGAAGATAAAAGCTTGCCAACTGTTTTTGCCATTTTTATCTTTACTGGAGCATTTTTTTATTGGCTTCCATCAAAATTAAATTAATATACAAGAAATAATTAGTGGCGGGATTGGGAATTGTAAAAAAGAAATACTATAATATTTTTTCAAGAAAATGACCAAGGCAAACAAATCAAGCCAGGGCTAATTTTGAATATGTTTGGCGGACCAAATTAGCGTTAAGATTATTAAAACGGAAAGAAAAAATTAATCATTTAGGAGCTAAGACATCCTGCCACATCGTTCTCTTCCCCGAAGTTTTCCTAATAAGGTTTGCGCTACACACAGTAGCAAATGAGGGAAAACAAAAGGAGATAGGTTGGGAATTATTCCTCAAGTAGAGTAATACTCGAGTGTTAAAATAAAATCATAGGAAGTTAAAGGGAATTGAATCAACTTTACTGCCTGAAGAAATTCCTTAAGTATGGAAGAAATTTTTAGTCAAAAAATACATAAAAAATATAAAAACAAAAAACGTAGATGTGTCATAAAACAACACTAGCAAAGGGTTGGTGAAGAAATCTTGGGCGCATGGCATCACAATGTCTAGCTATGGCTTTCCACAGGCGCATTCGAGCTATAAAAGCAAACATTGCCTAAAAGGCTATCATTGGACCTGCTTAATGCAGGTAAAGAGAGAGCGCTAGAGGAAATTTTGGCATAGAGACAATGGAGCTTGACAGAATAGCAACTAGAGAAGTTCAAGCACAGCATTCACCTAGCTCCCTGAGGTTTAAAGAGTGTTAACTCCCTGAGGTTTAAAAGAGTGTCCTGCTAGTTATCACTTATCAACCATCACATCTAAATGTGATAATGGAGAAAATTTGAAGTTCCTGAATAGTTTTATGACATTACTTGTCCACCAAATTTAGAGTAAAGGTAGGGGAGACAACAATTAGTATAACCGGTGTTGCTATAAGCGCTGGCCTTATGCATTGCTTGCCTATGAAGAGTAAGATCACAGCAAAACAGACGTTTCACTCCACTTCACCACATCAAATCATAGTGCTGCACTTCACAACATCACGTCATAGTGCTGCACGGTTGAATATGTCTCAAAACAAAATCATGGCTCTTCTTTCATAATTTCGATCAGTATTTACAGAATAATTAGGTATAAATGTTCACTACTAATCATTGATTCATCGCACATTGGTCCCAATTTCTCTCCCATTGGAGCAAGTTACTTGGCGGTGATTCTTCTCTTCACACTCTCTCCCTAGTCCCTCGCTAGTTTTCTTTCACGCTTCTCACTGGTTCTTATTGTTGATGCTAGTAGCTTTTTGCTCATAAATTTCTTCCTGAGAATATGTCTAAATGCCCTACTCAATGCTTACTCTCACTTCATGTTATCTCCACATCCCGGCCTCTAGTTAGTCACAAAATCTCATAACTATTACCGAAATAGCAAGAAGCATCAACTTCAGCAAGATCTAGAAAAGAGAAAATTTTCAGTAGGACTATTTCCCGAAATAACCGCTAACCGGTGGAACCCGCAGCGACCTCGTCTTATTCTTGGCGGAGGCGGTGAGGTAAAAGAAGCGGTTAGCCCTAGCTCGGCCTCCTGCGAACGGCCGCGGACGCAAACATGAATTTCTGATAAAGAAGCTAGGGCAACGAAGGAAAGGTCTGTTGCAAATTACGCCGGATATTGCTGACGGCAATGGAAACGCCGCAGACGCCATGGATTTTCGACAAGGAAGCTCGCCAGAGAAGCAGCACTTATCCTTTTCCTATGCCGATTTTGGGTCGGGTCAGATCCGGTTGGGTCGACTCCAGCCCGCTTTCGTCTAAATGGGAGATTTGGCTTTATAAGCTTCATAATAATGAAAATTGAGAAATATGCCCCTTATATTTTCTTAAAAGATAATATTCAAAAATGCTTTTTGAACAAAAATGCCCACATTTAATGGCCATAAAATACTAATAACATATCAAGTAATAAGGCAACCACCGACATTTGCTCTGCCAAATCACACTATCATTTCCCTGGTGTAAGCAGAAGATTCCCTGCCAATCTTTATCTAGGCCATTCATCTTCAATCGCCCGGATAATCTCAACCACTAGCTTAATACTTATTGTGTATTGCATCATATACTGTATCACGGAAACATGTGTGAAGGAAATAGAGTTTGAGCTACACCAGTTTTACATTTCATTACTCTTCTTCTTCGCTTCTCTACTTTATTTCTTTCAAATACTTATTTAAAATCTTTCTCAATGGACATATATTCGAATCATATGTTAACATGGTTTAAATCAATATTCAAAACATATTTGAACCATGTTCTAGTAAGATTCAATTAAGGTTCAAATATTGCTTGTATAAAATTTGGATATCCAATTTTTGCTCGAACCTAATTTGGCCACTTCTTATCTCCTATGCAACAACAAAAAATTGCTTCAACCTTTCATTAGAGGGCATGGACACACTTGCAGCTGATTGTGCTTTTGTTGACTATTGACTACTCTATTTTCACTTAAGAAATGGGTGTACTTGCTTTCCTCTTTACAACTTGATTTATGATAGATTTAGTAGGAAATATGTACAATAAACTTAAAGAAATTCTCATTATCAACTATATGCATCAATGTAAGATGAGCAATCGTTTGTAAAAAAAATGTCAGAACTTAAAGATTCACCAAATAATAAAATTATTTTGCTTACTTTGAGATAATATCAAACACTGGCTATCAGCAATGGCAAGAAATTTTTGCCTTTGAATAATTTGTTGTTCATAATATTGCTACTTTATCCAACAAACTCAACACACAACTCTGAGATGACTTCATAAGTTTGGTACTAAAATGTGTTGCATATTCAATTACAATATATTAGGCATTTGGCATTTTTCTTCAAGGTAGTAGCCTCATAACGTGCCATGTCCATATTCAACTCTTTTATTAATATCTTTCATGCCACTCTACCCCATACATAGTAAAAAATATATATCCTCGTCTTCAACAAAGTCAAGCATCTCGATAAAAAGTCAGTATTTTTTCATGATTAAGAAAGACAACATCTATAAAGAAAAATAGTATAAGCCCCATACATCTGCTCTCACAATGCAATCCATGAAAGCTTTCTCCAAACCTATATTTTTAAGCTCATGACGCCATTCAAGTAGTTTTCATGTTGCCTACTGTTTCTATCCATCTTTTAGAACTCAAAATGAGAATTCTCCAAATTCTAACATATTAGTTAATGCAAATTCAATAATGCTAAATATGGTGTTCTTTCTATCAATGTTAACCATATTGGAGTATCTCTCATTCTCATCATCATCTATCATCTCCAATAACAGTTAATAAATCAGGGAGCTCTAAAGAATTGTATTTCATTACTTCTAAGAGATTACTAAAGATGGATCTCTCAATCATAATAGTAAGATCATTAGTCTCAAATTGTAACTATTTTATCTATTACACCATCATATCATATATATATATATACATACATATATATATATATATACATACATACATACATATATATATATACATACATACATACATATATATATATATATACATATACGTCTCTTTTGGTATAATCATAACAAACATCTGGATAAATCGCAAAATCACTCAAATAAGTAAAACAAATGAAAAGATCTTCGAACCAAGTAAAACTATAGCCAAACCATGATCTTTTCAAACTGTTATTGAACCATCTTTAAACCATAATTGAGCCATCTTTGATCATCATTCAAACAATATTTGAACAGCATCAAGCCATATTCCAAACCATCTTATGACTTGTGATTATTAATAAAATAATATTTGAATCATCTTCAAATCCTAGTTAACCCATTGCGACTAATTTGAAATCCCATGAACTTAAACCCTAAGCCTAAGCCTGATTGGTTGACCCAATTGAGTAGCCAAGAACTAACCTCAAATCTAATTAATAAAATCAGTAGCAAACCAAGATAATAAACTAGGGATAAAAGGGTAATTAAGGGCGATTAGTCCATCCTAAGATAATTAAAAAAATTTAAAGCATAAGTATATCTTTAACTTCTGTAATTTTCTCCCAAATGATCAAGGCCATTCATCTAGCCAAGCCTAACACAAATGCCTTAAATTTGTGCCTTAATTAGCCAATTTTGTAAGGTTTTTCTTTAGATTTTTGGTTTAAAAGTTTTAGATGACGAAATAAAATGGAATTTAAATCATAGATGTTCCTTGGAGTGACATATTTAATTAAAATGTCTCCATGATATTTTACATAATATTTTAATTTTAAAAAACGAATTATCCCTTGAAAACTTCATCTAAATTCTTATGACATTCGCATTTGTTTTCATTTGATTTTTCTTGCCATCCATGGAATGAAATCTTCAGGGAAAAAATGGGAAATTTTTATTTAATTTTTATAAATTTTGTGATTATATGGTCTTATATTTAGGCTTCATTTGGGATGACTTTCTAAATCAACTTTTTAGTTTTTAATACAAAAATTTACAGTTTAAGAAATTTTTAAACTAAAAAATGCTTTAGAAATCAGTAATAAAGTTGTCCCAAACAAAACCTTACTTTCATGAGTTTATGACTTTGTAGAGAACCGTCCATAAATTTATCATAATTATTGGAGTTAATTTCCTATTTATAGTAATTTAATCATTATTACATATATTAATTTAGAAAAAATGTCTCAAATAAATTTGAGAAAATTTAGTTTATTTTAAAATATATAATTTGATTATTCAAACTCATTTGTGAATTTTAATTCCACTATTGTTTATACATTTGAAATTTCATGTGAAAAATTTTGGGGTTTTCAAAATAATTTCAATGAATTATGTTTTCTTATGACTTTTTTTTTTTTTTGGAGAAATATGACCATATATTTGATGTCATGAGCTTAGAACATCACATTGAACATTTATTAAATTTTTGGTAATTATTAGAGTTTATTTCCAAAGTTTGATAACTTAAATACTTATTATTTCAATAACTAAATAGAGGAAAATGGCTTAAATAGCCTTAAGAAATATTTTAGAAGTACAAGATGATTGCTTTGAATAAATGAATGCATTAGTTAATTTTATAAGTTTGGGAGTTGGGATAGCTACAAATTTTTTTTAGATGATTGTAAAACTGCTATTCAAAAATTGAATCTTTTTTAAAGCTGATGTAGAAAGCAGCTTCCTAGTACAATTTTTCTAAAAAAAATGATGAAAAAATAGTTGTCAAACAAAAATTAGAGCTGTGAACTGAAAAACAAAATAGTAAGCTTTAAATTTACATCTAATAAGCAAAGTATTTTTAAAACTTATGAAATTAGGTTTAATAAAGAAAAATTCTTTTAATTGCATTAATTTGGTGTTGGAAAATCATCTAAAATGATTAAGGAAAGCTACCAAAATACCAAATATAATTAGATTTTTTTTTCAAATTTATTTAATAATTTTTATAATTAATAGATAGTTACACCAATTATTAAAAATGCTTAACAAATCCAAGAAAAATTGAAATTATTTAGGGATCATCCCTATATGTATGTGATTATATAGCCCAATTTTCATATTTATGGGGTGTCTGTATCTTGAGAAATATATTTTTCTATATTAAAATATCTTATTTTTGTACTTAGAAAATGAATATCAACCTCAATATTGTTGCCCATGACATTTTTGACTTAGCTAAGGTCAGCGGACATGTAATGCAACTCCCCAAATATTTTATATTTCTTGTAATTTGCTTTATATTTTTTTATTTTGTATATTTTGGTGTTAATTATAGAAAACATTAAATATTTCTAAAAAAATACTTGAATTAGTTTATTGACAAAATTTCGTAAATTGATTATTATAAGTTAGTTAATTGTCCATTTTTTCTTAATTAAAACCCCTAATTGTAACACCTCATAGTACCCCTAAATAATACCATTGAGTGTAACATGCATCACATAAATATTTTTCCATTCAAAAATATTTAATACAACTTTTCTTTTTAGAAGTTCATATAAATCATCCAACCATAAGTTCATGTATACATCAACGAAAGCATCTTCCAAATTAAAACCTCAATAAACACATTTTTAGAGCCATTAAGGAAGTCCAAACAAACTGAAAGTAGTACAACATATAAAATGCTTACTAACCTCAAAAGTAGACTTCAAACATAAAATGTAAATACTTGCAGATTAGTCTTCTTTCACCTTTCCCTTTCCCTTTCTTGTAACAACAGCCAGTAATAAACTACTAGTGAGTTATGAAACTCCATAAGTGATGCAACTTGAAATAACATTTAAATTGCATGATTAAAAAATTTAGAACATTGAAAACATAAATAAAAATTAGACTATTTGAGCAAACTTCATAAATTCTCATTTGACATTACCTAGTAATTCCTCTTACATCTATACTGAATATCAATTTTACTTATTAAAAGATTTGACTACTTATTCATAAACATATTCAATGGAGGCTAGATAAACCTGGCATTATCGTCATTGTGTTACATAGAGATCTCTTTTGCCCCACTTGCTTTGCAGGTTTCATCTCTTTGGGGTCCCTTTTGCCCCACTTATCAAACAGTTTAATATATGGGGACCCTTTTGCCCCACTTGCATTGGTAAGTTATATATAAATCTTTATCCAAACTTTATTTTTAAATCGATGTTTAGTACACCTTCCATATTCATTATCCATACCAGACTTGCTGCATGATTTCTTATTCATTTATTATATAATATGAATATGCACATAATAAGTAAAGAAAATGATTTCTTTTCAAAACATTATCAATAAGAAAAATATTTAAATGAACATAAT